TCAGCATTTGTGTTAGGTCAGATATTTTTGTTATTTTTGTAAACCTGTTTTATCTTTATAACCCCTGACCATATGCTTTTGCTCCTTGATTGAAAGCTATAAAAGCAAGAACTAGTGTGACATTTCTTTTGGCAGTTTGGGGAGAGACATTTGTTCTGGCTCTCATTCACTCAGCCATCAGCATTAAATAATTGGAATCTGATAAATCTGATAATGGGTAAATAATTTATTTTTCTTTAACAAGGAAAGAATCGGTAGAGAAATAGTGGAATCCCAGAGCTGAATTACAGAAGTTTAAGTCGACTAATATTGATTGGCTATCTGCCTGCTCAGGGCACCCTGTTCCATACAAAGGAAAAGAGGCATTGTTCCCGCTTTTAGCCCAGCAGAGAACAGAGATTCATGAATGAGGGTACATGGCAGTGGAAGGTTGAAGTACCATAAGGATTAGGAAGAAGAGGGGAGGAAAAAAGACTTCTGGATGAAATCAACTAAGGAGGGGTGCCTGGGTGGCTCAGTGGGTTAAAGCCTCTGCCTTCAGCTCAGGTCATGATCCCAGGGTCCTGGGATGGAGCCCTGCATCGGGCTCTCTGCTCTGCGGGAAGCCTGCTTCCTCCTCTCTCTCTCTGCCTGCCTCTCTGCCTTCTTGTGATCTCTGTCAAGTAAATTAAAAAAAAAAGAAAGAAAGAAATCAACTAAGGAAATCTTTGTGAAGAAAGTGGTGTTTAAGGTGAACCATGTAGGACAAGCAGGATTTCAACAAGAAAGTTTTTCCATAGACGTTAATTGAGCTATTATGTGCCTGACACTTATAATTGGGAATGGAAAGCCACTGGGGGAGGGAAAGGATCAAACATGTCCAGATGAACAATGAGTAGTCCTATTTGATTAGAACTTAGGGATGTGTAGGAATAAGACAAAAGATGAGGTTTGGAGAGCCTTGGATGCCAGGGTGAGGAGTTCTACATTAAAAAAAAATTTTTTTTGTTGTTTTTTGGATCAGGGGCAGTTTAGAAACTGGTACTTCCAAATACATACAGAAGGCTCAATTAGGACACTGTTATGGTTAGTTGGTAAGTGGAGGCAGTGATCATTGAAAGGAGGGACACGGATGTGAGGGAAAAAAATGTGGAAGTAATATCTTGTGATTAAATAACATTGAATGCATGTGTCAGGAGTAAAAGACTCCTGAGGTTTCATGAATAGGTGGCTAGAAAATAGAAATATTTAGGAGTTGAAACAGGGAGAAAATGTTTTAGCTTTGGACCTATTATGATTTAGGCATGGGTGAGAAATCTAGATACATAGGCATCTAGCAGTTACTTCGTAATTATTTGTTGAACACCTAATGTTCTGGGCGCTTTTGAGGCTGATGGGGATACAGTGGTAAACAAGGTGAAGGACAGACTCAGCATCTGCCTGTGGATGTATCTGTAGAAGGCTTCTATGAGAACAGGTTGGAGGAGGGCAGGAAGGGAACCACAGAAACGGGAGAACTCACCAGAGGGCTCTGGTGGTACGAGGGTGACTTTGGACTTTGTGGCCATGGAGACGGAGAGACAGATATGTGTAGGTCAACAATATATTTGAGAGAGAAGACAAGTAGGGCTTTGCAGTTGGATTGGATAGGAGGCGTGAGACGGCAATAGTGGTGCTAGACACTCTTAAGGAAGACCGAGGGAGGAAGGCGCGACCCAGAGTGAGTTCAGAACAGAAGTTCAGTTAGAAACAGCTGGGAGTCATTCTCATCGAGTGGATGAGAGGATACAGTATATTAGAGAGAGACCCAGTTTGTGGGGGGCAAGAGGAGCCTGCCTGATTACTCAGGAAAGTAGATCCAGAGAAGGCCCAGAGAATGGGAATCTTCGAAGGACTCGACTCTTGGCTCAGGGTAACTCAAAGTTGTCAGACTTGGAGAAAAGAGTGAGTCTTGGCCATGAGCGGAAATGCCTGCAGTCACATATACTAGAAGCCAAGACTGGCTTTGGCATTTTAGCAGGAAGAGTGAAAAGACAAAGGAAACCATGTAAGTCAGACAGGCTGTGCCCCGTCTCCCCTGAGGAAATGGAAACACTTTGCATATCGTTTGTGCATTTCTAAGCTCTCAAAATATGGCCAGGGCATGGGGGTACATTGGAAGAATTATCCAGGGCTTTTCCTGGCCACACTGTTGTCCCTAGAGCCCCCTAACTGTGGATATTTTTCTAAATGTCTTGTTTTTGTTTCTATAAATGGAAGGCTTCTCCCAATCCCTGCTATTAATCTGTCAGCTCCACTCTTCTGCCTTAAGTTCTTTTCCCATTCCCTTCTCTTTATGCTGCCATTAACATTGGAACAGTAACTTGATCATTTTAGAAGCAGCAGCTGAGTTTCATTCTGCTTGGTCTGACTTAGGGGATCCTATTGTTCTCATTTCTTATTTCCTCTGCTTTCTCATTTTGTTATTGCTCAGACCTCTCCTGCTCAGAAGAGGTGGTAGTGAACTTTGGGAGCTAACAGAACTACCCTCCTTTATACCCTCCTTACTATATTTGAAGCTAATATGATGCCTAAGAAATCTGTTTATACAGGTACAAGTTCAGGACTTCCTTTTCTGACCCTAAGTGTCCTACGTTTTCCCATCAAAGTGCCTGGAGATGGTGAGCACTGGGTGATGTATGGAATTACTGATTCACTATATTGTATACCAGAAACTAATATAACACTGTTAACTATACTAGAATTAAAATAATTTTTAAAAAGGACCTAGAAAGGGGTGCCTGGGTGGCTCAGTGGGTTAAGCCTCTGCCTTCAGCTCCAGTCATGATCCCAGGGTCCTGGGATCGAGCCCCACATTGGGCTCTCTGCTCAGTGGGGAGCCTGCTTCCTCCTCTCTCTCTGCCTGCCTCTCAGCCTACTTGTGATCTCTATCAAATGAATAAAATCTTAAAAAAAAAAAAAAAAAGGACCTGGAAAATCCCTGCCCCAAAATGTTTCCTGTCCCCCAAAAGACCGCCCTTGTGTTTCCCTCTTCATCCTTTAACTTTACTTATATCTACTGCTTCTCCGGAGAAAATGTGGTGACAGTCTTGCAGGGAGGGGCACAGCAGTGAGCAATAACAATAAGTAATCTTCAGTGTTTGTCGAGGGGCTGCCTGTGATCAGGGAGGATACCAGGAGGAGGAGATTTTGGGAGTCTTTTGCCTCCCCACTCCTCCATCCCAGGAGAAACCACCAGTATAACACTTTGGGAGACGCTCTTTGGTCTAAAATTCACCTTCCATCTTTCTGTCCTGACCCAGAAACTGTGGTGAGGACACAAACGAGACACTTCAAGGGAGAATTCCTGGTGTTGATACCAACTCCTGCTGTCCTTACACACACTTCTGCCTGTCTGTGAACACACACACACACACACCTCATTCGAGATTTCAGATGTTCCTGCCTGATTCTCTTCTGAGTAAGGCCCCATCCCTGATCTCTGCCAAGCTAAGAGACTCTTTTCCCTGAAAGAATATCCACAGATATGTTTCTATTGTACTTCACACGTTGCTTTTCTTTTTACTACTCAGTTTGGAGCAGTTTAAGAGAAGGCCAAAGTATGGGGCCGATGTGGGGGCGGGTGGTGAGGAGCCACATCCATGTGCTCAGCTGGGATGGCCCTGGCCTAAGGCTAGATGGGCTGGAAGGTAAGCAAGTTTAAAGTAGGGGGCATAATGAGGGTGGGATAGCAGGTTGCTGCTAAAATCAAGTGGCCGAGATGCTGTGAAGTCACACACTACTCCCGTGTGAGCCCATGTGAGCTCCCTGAACCCAACCCTAAGGTAGTTCACAGAGAAGAATAAAAAGAAGACCCAAAGCAGAGGGACCTCAGGGCTCATGCAGTCCACCTTCTGCATGATGGGACTCACTGCCACAGCCTGCTTGGTATTTGTTGGGATCTCTGCTTTGGGTCAAAGAACGGGTAATTGGGCCTTCCTGATGAGAGAATCATGGGCTTTGGAGTCTGACATATTGGGCCTCCTTCCTGCAGCCATCCCTTCGTAGCTTTGTGATTCTGGGTAAATTAGTTACCCTCCCAAGCCCTTTTTATTTAACCTGTCTATAAAATTATATCCTGCCTCACAGAGTTGTTGGGAGGTTAAGGGAGGAAATGTACATAAAGGGCCTGTAACAGAATCGCAGAGCAAAAGTTTAGCTCCCTGTATCCCACTGATGGGTGTAGGGACAGCTCACCCCCACAAACAAGGGAGAAATGGAGACCAGGAATGTGAGACTCAAGTCCCCAGCCTTCAGGGGGACAGGGCTGGATACAAGAAAGGCCTGCTGACCTGCTTTCTTCCCTCTGTGCCTAGTGCTGCAGAGCATTCCAGGATTAAGCCCCAAGGAAGGGTGGAAGAATGGGATCATGAAGTTATAGTTAAGACCTGTACGAGCTCAAAGGTCTTGGACCCTCCTGACAGGTCTCTCTCCCAAACCTCCCCCACCACCCGCCTTCCTCCCCTCCCCAGTGCACAAAATCCCCTACCCTCAACTTTCCAAGACTCTTATTTGATGCTTTTAAACTTTTTTCTTTATTTAGACAGAAAAGACCAACTCTTTAAAAGTAAAATGCAATAAATAAATAAGTTAAGCATAGAGAAGTGTCTGAAATGGACTCCCCAGTCTCCCCTTACCACTCCCACCGCCCCCCACCCGTTTCTTTCCCCTAAAACCTCTTCCTAAAGAAAATGATCAGGTAATAAACCCCTGTAACCCCTCCCCACACCCCTCCTCCCATATACCCAATTACCCCCAAAGCAAAGGGAGAAATCAAGAGAGAGAAAAAATCCAAGGGAAACATTGTCTAAACTCCCAGAAAGAGAGATGGCAGCGTCCGGGCCGGGCCGGGCTGGATAACGCACGGGTGGTAGTGGTATTTACACGGAGGGGACCAGCAGAGACTGTAAACATTTTTAGGGGTTTTGGGGGAGGTCTTTTCCTCATGAAAGGAGGAGGGTCTCTGTGGCTGACTGGTGGAGAGGCAGCCCTCAGGGCTCCCCCACACCCTCCTTAGAGGGGGCCCATGGGGGAGGCAGTGAGTTTTAGGGCTGGGAGCCCAGGGTTCAGGGATATCCTACCTCTAGCTGAGGGTGGCAGGGAGTGTGAGAACCAGCTTCTGAGAAACCCCTAATGTGGGGAAGAGGCTGGGGTGAAGGTGAGGTGGGGAGCTTATGGGAGGCCCCTCTGTCCTCCTGGGGGCCACAGGCCCGCTGGTGGGGGAGGCAAGTGCGAAAGCTGGGCACAGAAGGTCACCACAAGAACCCCAGCAGAAGGCAGATAGCCCAGAGCCTTTGAGCTTGTCCCTTGCTCCCTCACAAAGGCCAAAAGGGCCTGGGAGGAAACAGGCCCTTCAGGAGGGGCAGGGTGGTGGGAGTGGGCCGGTGTCCTGTTCCCCAGGGCTGTGAAGCAGCTTTTGCCCCCAGAGCCCCATCGAGGCCCCGGGCAGGTGTGCAGAGAGGGCTGGGACCAGACGTGGGGAGAAGGGTGTGGTGCCCCTTCCTCTGATGTCTCCAGACCTGTGAAGTAAGGAGACATGGGTGAAGCTGTAGGGAAGGCACAGCCAATGCAGGTCACAGGCCCTGCCAAGGAAGAAGTAGCTGGGCTGGCTGACGCAGGATAGGATGGGGCCGCTTGGGGAAAGCAGGTCATCAGAAAGGCCTCAGTCCAGACAGAGCCCCCCCCAGCTGTTGGACGAGGGGCAGTGATGGAGGAGATGGGAGGGAGAGGGCCCATGATACAGGAAACCAAAGGATATCCAGAAGGAGATATTTACACAGCCCGTGAGAGAGAGAAAGGCTGGAAGACAGAGAGACAGGGACTGGAGGGGACAAAGCAAAGGAGTGAGACAACAGGCAGGCAGGCAGAGATAGCTAAGAGAAAGGAGAAGGGGCAGTGGACAGACAGACACCTGGAGGAAGAGCAAGGTGGCCAGGCTAGGACCTGGAATGGGGCTTAGGGCTGCAGACTTGGGGGCTGAGACCCCCAGTCCCTAGAGAGTGCTCTCATTCCTTTTCAGAAAGGAACAAAGAAAGCAAGAGAGAAATGCACAGAACACAGACCACAGTCACCAACCACTGTTGACCAAGCACGTCCCGCGAGCTGCCCCCGGCCCTGACCCTGGGCTGAGGGGCGCTTCCCTCCGCGGCCCCCTCCCCAAAGAACAAACAATCGGCTCCAAAGACAACACGCTCGTTCCATGCAACTTACAGGGGCCCGGAGCAGGGGTCCGGGGATGGGGGCTTCGGCCGACAATGGACACGGGCCCTGGGCTGGGGGGGCCCCCAGGGTGGGGGGAGTTAAGCAGCCAGGATTGGGGGGGAAAGGGGGAGAAACAGAAAATGTGGGTATTGTTCTTGGGTTGTGTTTTTTCAGGGGTTTGGTCCAAAGGAGATTAAACAAACACAAAAGTCACCAAAGCTCACAGCTCTGTGGCCATGAGGCTAAAGTGGTGACGGCAGTTGGGTGGAGGGGACCCATTTTGTGAAATTCAGGCAGTCCAGCATTTTAGCCGTCTCCACCTAAACCAAAGCTGCTCCTGGTAGGCCTGAAACTTGGACTTCCCCGAGTCTGTTCTGTGCACTCTGCACTGTCCCATGGGTCTATACTGTACAAGAGCCCAGGGTCTATACTACGTGGGGTCCAGGGTGCTGAGGGTCTAATGTCCCCACCTCTCAGGAGGATAGATATTCCAGGAGCCACGATTCTAGAACCCTCCAGTATCCTACACCAGCCCCCTTACTTCCCCAACTCTACTCCCCTAAATCTACTCTGACCCAAAGGAAAACAAAAAAGAGAGACACACACAAACACATAGACACTGACCAGACAAATGACACCAGATTCTGAGAAAGACCTGGGAAGTGGACACAGATCTAGACAGACTTGGCTCTCTCTGGGGTCACAGTGTGTGTGTGTGTGTGTGTGTGTGTGTGTACGCACGCACGCACACACACACACAGGTGTATGTATGTGTGTGAGAGAGAGAGACAGAATGACTCAGGTGACTGAAAGGTGACAGCAGAAAGTGACTGAAAGGGTGACAGCAGAAAGAACTATACCAGACCCCAGCTTCAAGTGCACAGAGTCAGGCGGCGGTGGGTTGGGCATCCCTGAGGCTAGGGGAGCATGGGGTGGGGGCAGTCCAAGTGAGGGCCCTGGCTTCTGTGTGAGGGAGCTGAAGAGGTCACAGGATGGGAGCAAGACCCACCTGGGGGCCCTCAGTAGGGCCGGTTGGCATCCTTAGGCCGCTTTAGCTGGACTTTGAGGCGCTTCATGCCAATCTGGAAACCGTTCATGGCCTGGATGGCAGCCTGGGCACTGGCCGGATTGTCGAAACTCACAAAGCCTGAGGTGAGAGGGGCATAAGGCCCAGCCCAACCCCACCTCACTTGCCTGTGCTTAGGACCAGAACTTGCTCCTTGGTTCCCTGCTGCCCCACCTCCCTTCCTCCCAGGATCCTGAGGGCCTGGCACACAGCAGGCATTTGATGGGGAGCTGCTGATTGACAGGCTGAGGAAACGCAGTGCAGCCACTCAACATGCTCTTGGACATTCTTTCCAGCACTCTCTGAAGGGCAGCCCCTTCCTCAGCCTGGATAACTCTGAACCTGCCTTCTGAAAACACAGACCACTTCTGGCCCTTTGTGACTTCTCAAGCAGGGAGGACAAGGCTCCTTCTCCCCTGAAGCAACTTTTCAAAGACATGAAGGCAAAAGACTCCACTCCCTAAACTTTCCTTTTGAAAACCAAACATCCCGTTCCTGAGACTCTTCCAGACCTTGGGGAGCATGAATTTGACCAGTGCTCAAGGAGAAAAGGTGAAGTTGCAGGTTTTGGAGGAAGAGCTGGACAGCAGCTGGTATGGCATGCCGAGGGTATAAGAAAGGTTCCTTCTGACCTTGGATAATCTGGATTTCAAAATTTGGGCCCACTGTGACCATAAATGCCTTTAAATGTCTCATATCTTATCCATATTTGGAGTTTGGCAAAAATGTACCGTATTTTATCTTTTGGATCACCACAGTCTTACCAAAACACTTGCTCTGATTGGTGGCCCGGTCAACAAAGACTTTGGCTGAGATGACGTGGCCAAAGGGGACAAACATCTGGAGGATTTCTGAGTCCGTGAACTCCTGGGGCAGGTGGTAGATGAAGATGTTGCAGCCGTCAGGGCCTGGATGGCAGCAGACAGAGGAAGAGCTCAGGAATTGGGAAACACAGGGCAAGGGCCCCACGGAAAACAGGCCCTGGGGGGGGGGGACCCTCCCATCCCAGCCCCCACATGCAGGCCAGGGCGCCAGACACCTCATCCCCACTCGCTTTCTTCCCACACATAGGGCCAGAGTCAGGCTTGGAGCAGGCAACAGGGAGTCCCCAGCCCAGGACCAGGGCGCTCCTCTCCCTGAAAGCTCTGGGCCAGGAGAAGGGCGCCCAGGCCGCACCTTCCCGTTGCTGCTGCTGCTGCTGTTGCTGCTGCTGTTGCTGCTGCTGCTGCTGCTGGGGAGGAGGTGGGGGCTGCTGGGCGACCAGGGTTGGGGGAGGCTGCGGGAACGCAGGTGCGACCAGGCTGTAGGCTGCTGGGTAGGCTGCTGGGGGGGCGGTGGGAGAACGGAGAGCTAGTGGGGGTCTCGGGACTCCCCTGGCCCCCGGGGCCCTCTGGCCAGCCCTGTCTCCCTCCGCCTAGCCCAGGCCAGTGGGGTGGACAGGCCCTTGAACTCTGGGTATACTGCCCCTAACGTAGGACCCATGGGACCCATCAGGAAGCCCCAGGGGGTGGCTGGCAGGGCAGGGTGCCTGGAAGACCAGCTTCTCTCCCTCGCTGTCCCTCCTGTCAAGGGCCCTGGGCTCCTCACCTGTGTAGTGCTGCATCCCTGCGTAGGCCTGCTGCAGGGGGTCCACAGGTGCTGCGGGGCTCTGGGCTGGGGAGAGCAGCACCAACTGTGAGGGAGGGGGAGGACGCAGAGCAAAGGCCATGCAGGTGGGGAACACAGCCTCCCAGGGCGCGGGGTGTGACAGGATAGCACGCAAAGGCACAGGGTGGCGGGAAGAGCGCAGAGCGTGGAGTCTGACTGCCTGTGCAACCCCGGACTTCTCTAAGCCTCAGCTTCCCTGGCTGAGAATGGGCAGGAGCCTCTGAGGCCAAGGATGCCAGAGCAGAGAAAGCACCTTATGACCCTGAGGCCTGCAGAGGGAGGGTGCACCACAGCTGTCTGTGGGCAGTGGGAGTGGTGGCTTTGATAGCTGCTGGGGAGAGAGGGGGGCAGGCAGAGACCCCCACCTGGGTAGGGGTGAACCCCGTTGGGATACAGAGCATCAGGGGCAGGTTGCCCGGTGGGCTGGGTGGGCACCGGGCTGTAGCCGTTGACGCCCAGGGCAGCAGGGATTGCCGAGACGGGCGTGGCGGCGATGGCAGGAGGGGTGCTGGTTCCTGGGGAGGAGAAAGCGACAGGGACAGAGCAGAGGAGCGGACACACACACACACACACACACACACACAAACAAACGCAGAGAACCAGTCAGCAAGGCTGCAGGCATTAGGGAGGAAGCAGGCCACTCTATTGCCCCTGAGTTCCTCCCAGCCCCTCTGGCTTCCCTGAGCAGTGCCCTACGTCCCCTCCCCACCACACACACACTGACCTGTCCCACTTGTGCCCAGCCCAACCCGGCCTGCCTACCCTGGGCTTTACCTGAGGATGGGGTGATGGGGGTGGCAATGAGGCCATTGGCATTGATGGCGGCCATGTGCTGCATCTGCACGGCGGCCATGGTGGCCATGGGGCTGAGGTAGGCACTGTGAGCCGCCACCAGGGCTGCCTGCTGCTGCATCAGCTGGAGGGAGGGGAGGAGAGGACAGTGGGGCCGGGTCCTTCCCCCCCACCCCCATGCCCAGCCTGGCTCCCCTCCCAGCCACGAACCGTGGCACTGGAAGGGTGGGGGCAGGTCCTGGAGGCCAGGAGGAGGTGGGGAGGGGCCCAGCCCAGGCCCCCGGGGGTCAGTGCTCACGGCCTGGGTGTAGGCGCTGTAGGCTCCAAACTGCAGGGCGATGGGGCTGAACATGCCCAGCTGGGTAGCCACCTGCTGCATGCGGCGGAGACCTCGCTCCTTCTCCGTGTCGGCAAACTTCACCACCAGGCTGGATGAGGCACCCTGGGCAGGGGCCACGTGGCGGTTAGAGGGACAGAGGAGTCGGGACCTCTCCTGCTCAGAACCCTCAAGGCCCGGCCTCGGGTCCATCCCTCCAGGTTTGGCCTCTTGGGGAGGACAGCCATCAGGGCGCCTCTGTCCAATGAGAAGATTTTCATCCCAGCCTCCCCCTGTGCCGGGATGGGCGAGAGGCTACAAAAAGTTGAGGAACTTGAAGGCACATGTTTGGAAAGGGAATGGCCTACTGAAATCAGAAGGGCGCCTCTGGCTTCTCCGTAAGGATTCCAAGCCGGAAATCATCCCCAGCCAATATTTAATCTCAGGCTGGTCATCCCATCTAGCTGCCCCAGCCCCCACACCACGATGCCCACCCCCACACCCTGACCCTCGTGGTGGATGCTCAGAGCATGAACCCTCAAGTTTTAATACCACCTCGAGCTAAATAAAAACCAAACCCAAGAAACATGTGCGGAGATTTTGCAGAATTCTGTACTCTAGAATGCAATTCTCTATTCAGTGGTGCATCCTCTCGGCCAAGGCCCAGCTAATCGCTTGCCCAGCCTCTGCTGAGGGAGCTTCAGAGTCAGGTAGGTCCATCTGAGAAACACACTCTGCTGGAGAGCCCCCCACGAGCACGGTCAGTTGGCCCAGGGCTAATGTGCAGAGGGCATGTGAGGCCTCTAAGCAAGTGTTCCAACGCCCAGCCAGGGAAGGTGGGGGGTACAGGAAGGTGGGCAAAGAGATAGGAGATGGGGAGGCTTGAGGAGTGGAGGAGGCTGGAGAGGAGGGCAAGGCCTGTGGGCTGGAGGTGAGGGGTCAGAGGTGGGGGGATGTCATCTGAAATGTGAATGTGGGGGTGCTCACCGGCAGGGTCCGGCTGCTGTGAAGGGTGTTGATGGCCGCTTGGGCCTCGGCGTGGGTCTGGAACTTGACAAAGGCGCAGCCTACAGCATCCGAGAGCAAGGAGGAAAGGGTGAGTGCTCACCCTCAGGGGCCCCCAACGTTGCTGTCACCAGAGAGCCAAGGGGAAAGGAGCAGAAAGGCCAGAGGGCCCGTCTGGGGAAGGGGGAGCCACTGGGTACCTTTGCTGGTGCCATCTGGCCCCCGGAGCACAGTGCACTCGTCTATGGTCCCAAAAGGCTCGAACATCTTCCTGACGTCCTCATCTGTCTGCTGCTTCCCTAGCATCCCCACAAAGAGCTTCCGGTCTTCTGGGGGTAAGGCACAGGACAAGGGGCATGTTCAGGGCTCCCTGGCTACTTTCCCCACTCTATTCCCGCCAGGATAGGCACAAATCCTGCCCTTCACCTTTGGCAACTCCCTGGAGCTCCAGGTACTCCCCTCACCCTGAGACTAAGGCTACTAGCAGTGACGCCAGTGATTTTGGGGGAAATGGGATACAGTTACATAGGGTGCTCAGCCCAGTTCTGAAGGGCTTGCACTTTTCTCTGGGCTTCAGTTTGGCCATCTCTACAATGGGCTAGATGACATCCCCTCTGACAACAACCCCCACCTTGACCGGGAACCCTTTGGAATTCTCAGATCTCCTTCCTCAAGAGAGACTGCCCCTCAGTTACTCTAAGCCCTGGGCCTGAGTCCCAAGCCCAAGGGTACAGAACCTACCTCCTCGGCTCTCGCTGTCGGCCGGCTTGACCTGGATTGGCCTGTTCATCTAAAAGGAGAGAAGAGAAGGCAACTGCTGGGGACCTCCTCTGAACCCAACAAGAGCCACCCCCCTCTCCCCAGGCCGGGACCTGCAGAGAGGCTAGAGGAAGCAAGCCCCAGGCCCTAAACTGCTGATGGGAAGGAAGGGATGGGCCTAATCTTGTTTAGGATTAGGACCCAGGGGAGATTAGAGGCAGTGGGAGGTCAGGATATCTAGGAGGATGCTCCTGGGCCCACTCCAGGCCCCGGTGAAGCCCCAGGTGACTTGGCCAGGGACAAGTGATGCTCTCTTTAGGGGGAGAATGGAACTTCCCATAGGACCTGTCTCCCCAGATGGAGCCCAACCAAGAGGCTATTCAGCAAGAGCTGTCTTAATTTTACAAAGTAGGGGCAAGAGAGGCCTCTCCAGTGAGCAGCCCCAAGGAAGACTATCGACCCAGGGACACCCCACAGATGCCCCGACTTCCTTCTGACCCCAGAGGTGTGTCTGCTTCTCTATCTGCCCCCCTACACCCCTTGACCCCAGGGGGAAGGCACTCGGGCAGCACAAAGGGAGCAGATGCCCAGTCTCCGTGGCAACGGGAGAATGCGCGCCATGGCAACCGCCCACTCAGCCTGATTTATCCCTCCCGTTGCCCTGGCGACCGCGGTGACGTCATCACTTCGGCAGCTCCACACACCCGGAGAAGGAGTGGGGGGGGGTGAGAACAGGGTATGCTGGGGGTGGAGGATTTGGAGGAGGCTGGGAGGTGGGGGAGGGGCCCAGGACAAGCTTCCTGATTCGTGCTGAGCAGGCTCTGCAGGGGCCACACTGTCCCTTCTTCCTCTGCCTTCCTCCTCCAGATCAAATCCTTGGTGTCTCACAGCTGAGAGGGCTCCGAAGGAAGGACTGCTGTCCCATGCTCTTTTGACATTCTCCCTGTACCCCGAAGTCCTCCAGAGCTCTCCCTTCTCTTCACTCCTGCAGCATCTCCCTTTGTTCGGTCTCCAGTGAAAATGCAGACACCCCCCAGTTCCCCTCTCCATGATCTTGCCTGGTGAGGGGACTTAGCAATGACTTCTGCAGGTTGATTTCCTTCACTGGGGGCGGGGGGCATCTTCAGAACTGGAGGGAGGGGAAGGACTCAGTATTTCGTGTCTGAAAATATTTTGCTACTGAGGGGCCATCCTAGCTCCAGTGACCAAAAATATTAAACAGAAGAAACCATTTGTTGACATTCTGAGGAGAGCTACGGGTGTCCTCAGGAAAGGCACTGGACTGGGGGTCAGGAGATCCAGGTTCAGGGACTAGCCCTGCCATTCACTAGCTGGGTGACCTTGGACAAGTCACTTCTCTCCTCAGGGCCTCAATGTTCTTCTCTGTAAAACAGTGGGGCAGATCAGGTGGTGGTGAATCAGGTTCCCCTCAGCTCTAGTGTTCCAGCCTTTGGGGATCTCGTGTGTCGTCACTTCACACAGAGAAGTACAGGACTGGTAGTGGGCTCCTTGCCCCTTCTCACACCAGACCCTCCACCCTGGTATCCAGCCATTCCAGTCAGTGTGACAGGACTCTGCTGGTGAGGGAGCCCCCCCAGGCCTGGATCAAACCTAAGCTGCACCTCAGTGGACACTCCTGTCCTGCCCCACCCCCATTTATGGATCCAAGAGCAGCTGGCTGGGGGGAGGTGGGTAACAGTCACCCAAATCCTCCAGCCAATCTGCCCCCAGCTTTATCCTCCACCAATCTGGGATTATCCCATCGAGTTTCAATCTCCTCAGGAGCTTGCACCCGCATGTGTGTGTGTGTGTGTGTGTGTGTGTAAGAGAGAGAGAGATGTGTGTGGGCGGGGGGGGAGTGGGGGTTAGACACCCAGGGCGCTCAGTTTAGCACGGTGTAAAGCAATCGGGAAGGGCTGCAAGGGCACCTCAGCCCCAGCCACACCTCCTACAGAAGACGTAGACTCTACACCAGGGTCTCTCCATGGCATCAGGGAATTCTTGAGTTGACACTATCCCTTTCCCAAATGCCCCTAGGGATCTGAGGCTCTAGGCAAGGGCGGGGAACCTGAGACCCAGAAAGAAAGGATGCCATTCCCTTACTGCATGGGCTCCCAGGCACAGAAATAGCACCTCAATAAATATCCACAGCTGATGGGGATTCACACAAAGACACACAGAAGCGCACAGGCTGCAGCGCAGGTCACGTTGACAGAAGGTCCCCGACACAGCCTCCCTCAGAGCCCCCCCCCCAACCCATGCCCCGGCTCTCCTTCTTGGCCTGGCACTTCCTGTGGGAAGCTCGGTCTTTGTTAGCTCAGCTCCTGCACACCTGCCCCCTCCCCTGAGTCCAGCTGGGCCCTGTTTACCTGGCAACCCAGGCTCCGGTGCCTCTCTTCCCTAACCACCACCAGCCAGGTGATAAGCCCTCCTGAGGGCCTCCCAAAGAAGAGGAGGCTATTTATACTCACTCAGACTGCTCCCCCACTGACTTGGTCACTCATAAGGCCCTTATCCTTCTCACCAATAGCAAAGACCTCACTTCCAGGAAGCGCTCCTATTTCCAGAAAATCTAATTCTCCCGAGGACACAGGCCTGCTGCTCTGCCACCCCTGGCTCCTGACTCCCTTCCACCCGGTGTCCCAGACCACACATGGATCCTTTCCACGGGGCCCAAATTCACTGGCCCAACAGCAAGCCAACAGGCAGGGCCCATGGCCCCAGAGTGGGAGTTCGGCCTAAGGAGAGGGCGTAGGGCAGGCTAGGCAGAATTAGTCCCTCCCACCACCACCTCCAGGAGGCCACACCCTCCTGCAGGAAGAATCCACGGGCCTTAGGCAGAGCCTGTCCTGGGAACACTCAGGGGAGAGAAAAGGAAACGGGGCTTGGCAGCCACAGGTCCAGCCTCCATTCTTCCTCTGCAGCTAAAGTATCACCCTAATATAGCGGGACCGTGCAGATTTCGGGGTGACAGAGATGGGGAGGAAGAGGAGAGAGCTAAATGCTCACATTAAAAAAGAGCCTATATTGGGGCACCTGGCTGCCTCAGTCGGTGGAGCATGTGACTCTTGATCTTGGGGTTGTGAGTTCGAGGCCCACATTGGGAGTAGAGATTACTTAAACATAAAATCTTAAAAAAAAAAAAAAAAGTCGTATTAGGAGGGTGTGGAGGGAGGTTAGACAGCAGGAAGAACGTCCCACAGAGGGGATGCACTAAACAGGCGTGCGTGCGTGCGTACACACACACACACACACTGAATGACTATTTGAGGAAACAATGCTGCCAGGAACGCAGGTGGCAGAGAAAAGATCTGGGGGATACAAAGGGTCAGGCAGAGCCTGGACATAGACATCTGCTCCCCTAGACGCCCCAAGCCCCCAGCACAAGGGTCCCCTTGGAGGATAGGACCTCCCCCCTCCGTTTCCTACTAGAGGCTCTGTCAGGCCAATCTGGATCCTGTCCCCGAGGCAAGAGGCAAAGGCCGAAGTGGAGGCCTCAGTGTCACCTGGGAGCTCACTCAGGGGCGGGGCTAGACAATCATTAACCAGGAGCCCTCTTCCCTCACCTGCCACCCTGGGCCTATATTTTTTCCAGGAAGAGGGGGCAGAGCCCTCTGCACCCTGACAGTCAGAGCCTGCCCGAGCGCACAGACAGCTGGAGGGGGCAGACCCAGGCCAGGTGCCTGCCTAGCAAGATGGCAGGAAAAGAAGAGATGTTGTGACTAAGATGAAAACTACTGAATTGTCAGGAGTCTCCACAGAGAAAAGAAAGAAAGGAAAGTTGGAATGTGACGTGATGGAAACCAGGCTTCCCAGGGAAGCGTGTGCCCACACCCACGCAGCCAGGCTGGCAGGTGCACGCGCACACATGTGCACACGCACGCGCACACACAGGCTCCCCGGATCCCAAGCCTGCTCTCTCTCTCTCACAACCGCACACACACACACACACACACACACACACACGAACACACACAGATCCTTAATGCCATAGGCCAGGGCTGTTCTGGTGCCTTGCCACCAACTAGGATGAGATGGAGGGGAGAAAGCCAGTCTGACTGTGGGATTTGCTCTCTTAAGTGCATTCAAGGGTTGAGGGCCACAGGGGGAATGGGTCACGGACCTACTGAAGGTTCGAAGTTGGGAGTGACTGAAGCAGTTCTGATTTTCCTGGATGCCCCCACCCTCTTTGCCCGTCTGTTTTGTCTACTTCCCTCCCAGGAAGGAATGGAGAATCAGCCTTTTTCTCCATGCCCCACATAGGGGAAGGGGTAGAGGCTATGACACGTGTGTCTCCAGCACCCAGGCCGGGCTCAGCAAATGTTTGCCTGAGGGATGGACGGGGTTAGCTCTCAGTACTACTTCCTGGGGCTCAGAGGGTGGGAGACAACAGAAGCACATAGACATGGGAATAGAATGGCACAACCTTTCCCCCCAGGCTGCATGGCAGGAGGCAGCCTGAGATTCTCTATCCCTGCCAGCTCAGGCCTGGGACAATCTGCACAGCTATCTCAGAAGAAGAGAAAAACAGCTCTGACTTTTCAGGAGAGAGGCCATGCCGGAGGGCACCCCTGCCGACCTGGGCACACTTTGGGGGTCAGACTTGATCCTCCACAATGATGTCTGCCTGTGCCCTTGCTTGTCCCAGCCCACGCCCCCCCGGGCTTTGCTCCACCCTGATGCCCAAAACTCTTCCTAGGAGACACGAGGTGAGTCTTTGAGAGCTCAGAAGCCCGCACAGAGATGCTAGTCCCACAGGTACCCACTGTCCCAGTCACAGTCAGACATTCCACCCCCAGAGCCAGAAAAGAGTGCCTGGGTGCCTCCTGCTTACTTTGCCACACACTTGGTATCCGGAGTCTCTCCCCATGCCTCACAACCAGCTAAGCTCTCTAAGTGTTGTCCCATGAGCAGGCTGGAAAGTGAAGAAGGGGCTGCACCTGCTCTTTACAAAGGTCACATTTGCTCTGCTAACCGCTGTCTTCCTTCTCTCCAGGTAGAAGAAATGAATGCATCTCCAGCAAGAAAGAGGGCTGTTAGAAGGAGAGGGGGGCCTCCTGGTGATGAGAGGAGGTAGGAAATGAGTTCTGTATCTCAGAAAGGTGGTGAGCCCCCTGCTCCCTTCTCAGGAGCGCCCTATGAATATGGGACTCACCCCTGGAAGCGTCTTCTGTTCGTGCAGGGCGCTCTGGGCCTTCAGGGCTGAATCGCGGGCACAGTATGTCAGGAAGGCACATCCTGAGGAGGGGCAGGGGCAGAGAGACGGGGTGGGGGTGAGTCCCTGATATCCCCTCCCTAAAAGGCTCCCCCCAGCCATGACACTGAGGACTGGGAGGCTTTTCTCTTCTTGCCCCTCTCTGGCCGCTGGAGTGGGAAGGTGTCTGAGAGGGGCCAGACATTTTGCCCCAGGGAGTCTCTGGGCTGAGTCGTTGGGAGAGGGGGCTTTGTGTGGGAGTAGAAGGGGCATGTGGTTGCCAGACAAGTGTGTGCAGTGTGGTTTTTCTCTTCCTCTGCTGGCCTCTTTTCCCCTTCTCCTTTGCCTCTACCTCCCTCCATCTTGGTCCCCATCACCCTTCTCCTCTCCCATTTTCCCTATTTCCTCATCTCTCTCCTACTCCATGGGAGACAGGTGGACGGTGAAGAGTGGGATAGAGGAGAAGGAAAAGGGAGAGCAGTTCACTGCAAGTCCCTAGGCCAGCTGACAGGGGAGGCAGTGGGCCCCCCCACCCCCACCCACAGTGCCTGGAGCTCTCCAAGTCCTGACCGGAGCCTGACCCTGCTTAGCAAGAGTGCACAGCCCTTGGACAGGCCCAAGGAATGCCTCTTGGCCAGCCTCTCTCAAGTTCCCACCCCCACACTTCCCAGATCTATACCAGTCTCTGTCCTCCACACCCTGTTTCTCAGGTCCCTCTCTTGGGTCCTGGAGCTGCCCTGCCCAGTCCATGTCCACTCTTGCCAGGGTGACCCCCACCTCAATAGTGTCTGAGACTACTAAGATTCCCAGGCGAGTGTGCATGCATGCGCACACACACACGCATGTGCGTACACACACACACACACACACACACACACACACCCCTGCCTGGCTCCTTATCTCCCAAACCAGATCTCTTGGTCCTCCATCCTCCTTTGAGTTCATCCACGACATCACCCTCTCATCTCTGGGGTCCATATCTCTGCATCCCCTCCACAACTCTTCCCCTAAAGAGGCCATCCTAAGGCCTGCATCCGAGTCCCCTGCTCACCCTGGCTGTTCTCTTCCAGCTCCTCCATCCACTCCTTAGCCCCTGAACTCTTTCCTTCCACATTGGCCCTTTCCAGCTGCTCCAGCCCTCCAGGCTGGCTTCCCCTCCTCCCAGCCTCCCCTCCCACCCCTGACATCTCTCCAGCCTGGCCTGACCCCTCACCCTTGTGCAGCCCGGTGTACTTGTCCTTGATGACAGTCAGCTCGAAGATCCGACCAAACTGTTCGAAGATGGGCTTCAGGTCCTTTTCCTCCAGATGCCTCGGGATCTGCCCCACAAACAGCTTGATGGCATCCGGCTCCTTCATTGGGGCGGCCCAGGAGGAGGGGCCGAGGGGAGCAGGGAGAGGCCCAAAGGCCAGGGGGAAGTTGCCTAGCAAGGAGGCAAGTGGTGGGGGCCGGGGCCCAGCCGGGGCTGGCTTTCCCTTTGGCCCCCAACCACAGTGCTGAGCAGAGGGGCAGCTCTTCACACAAAGGAGGCCCAGGGAGTTGAGGGCTAGGGGTCAGGGGTCTAGGCAGACACTGTCATGCCACCAGGGGGCATAGCCCGAACAAATGATCTCCCTCCCAGAGATCTGGCAAATATCCCAGAATGGGGGTCAGTGTGCTCAAGATCTGGAGGATTAGGGTGGTATCTGGGGTGCTGGGAACTGGGGATTAAGAGCTGGAGTCAGGGAAAGGGCCTGAGGAGGGTGATGGAGAAGGAGGGTTAGGGGTTAGGGGCCTGGTAGGTTGCCAGCAGCGCCAGGGTGGGGGGGGGCACTCCTGATGTGGGGCAGGTGGAGCTCTCGTTGGCTTTCCTGGGAGGACACCTCCCCTGTGGCTGATCCTTCTGCTGGGTCCGAAGATCCCTGATGCCAGATGCTTGATTGCTGATGGCGGCAGGGCTCCGGGGGTCCCTTTTGCCCTGCCGCCCCCCTTCAGGTCCTCCCCTCAGCCCCCCTCCCACCCCCACCCTGGTCCCTGGGCCTGGGTTGCTGCTGGCTGCTCCCGCTGCTGGGGCTGCCTGCTTTCCCGGTCACCTGGGTCCCGGAGCTCTGCTCTCCGGCCGCGCTCTCCTCAACAAAAACCTCCCCCCTCCACACCCCCCTCCCCACTCCCACCTCCTTTCCCCTGACATCAGTGATGTCAGTCTCAGGGGTGGAATACAAATTCTCTACCCCGCAGAGGGACGCACAATACAGACAAGAGCCACGCCCTCTTTCTATCTCCTTCCTCCCTGACTCCCTTTCCACCCCCAGAAGAGCAGCTGGTCCTGTTGATAATAACCCTCCCCCCATCTTACTCCCCAGTCACGAGCTGGGCAAGACACTAAGATGGAGAATTTATAGAGGAGCCCTAAAGTGGGGTCCATTGTTCCGGGGGCTGGAGCTGTCCCCGGTGCTGGAAGCGAAGACACAGGAGAGGGGTGCAGGGGGGAGGAGGAGAGGGGAGCCGGCATCTGGGGAGACTTAGTGTGGGGAGCAAAGGAAAGAATCTGGGGAAAAGAAAATGGCATAGAAAGTGTTGGGAAGGTTGGGAGTGGAGGGAGGAGGGAGACGTAGATGGGGCAGGAAGCAGGTCTCAGAGCCTTGGGGGAAAGGGCAGAAGGGGACCCGGAGAGGAAAGATGGAAAGGGGGGGTGGGGAAGGAGAGAGCGGGGTGAAATGAGCACAGAGAGAGAACTGTGTATTTTCCAGAAAAGGATCCAAGAAAAACTATGTCTTGCTGGCATTTGCCAACGCCCCCTTCTCTCCCTCTGGGTGGTTTGTGTGTGTAAGTGCGTGGGCAGGGAGGCAGCGGTGGTGAGGTGGTAACGACTGCGAGAGCTATCACTTGTAAGCTCCTTGAAGACCAGGGCACCGTTTAATTCAGCATTTTACTTTTTGGGGTCTAGCACAGTGTCTTGCTCATACATAGTTGCTTAATAATTATTTTTTGAATAAACAGTTGATGCAAAGAACCTCTGATAAGACCAAATTCCCGATTCCTTTAGGGGGAAGAACCACAACTAGCAAGCTCCGGTTTAGGGCAGAAAAAAAAAAAAAAACAATTTCTCCTCCCTTTGCTCCCTTCTCCTAGTTAGGTTCCTTGAGTAGAACTCTCAATGTGAACCAGGTAGCAAAAAGGGATGGGGGGAGCACATTTGGGGGCTGTTACTCTCCTAAACCACTCTTCTTCTACAGATGATCTGTTTCCTCCATAATCTCAAGGGAGCTTAACTTTTCCATGCACTGGACCCGCTCACAGCACCCTTCAGTGCAGGGAGTACCTGCTGACATCAAGTCTCCTGGACTGGGCAGTCCTTGTGGAATGCCCCATCTACTGTCAGTCCCTTCTTCACCCCAGAGTGGGGTTGATGTCTCCACAGTGGCACTGGTGTTTCCGAAATCCATCCAACTGAATCCCTGCCACCCCCATTCCTCAGCTATCACAGCAGGCAAGCTTCTCTTCAGGAAGGGAAGTAATAGTAATGGCGCTTAGATGACATGGTATCCCAGAAATTCTTCCAAGTGCTTTACATTTACTAATGTGTTTAACCCTCAGCACCACCCTATGATGTAGGTTCTACTATTACTTCCAAATAAAGATGAGGGAACCAAGGCACCAACAGATAAGATGGCTTGCCTTATATCACAGAGCTAGAAAGAGGCCTTAGTGAGGGTGGAGCCCAGGAAGTCTGGCTCCTGAGTCCTGAGTTTAACCCCCACATCATATGCTCCCCTTGGGAATGGTAAGAGTTGTTAAGCCTGGCTTTCTTCCTCTTGTGCCTTCATTTGAGCGCTGTGTAATAGATGGCCTTCTTTCTACTGCTTTTGATTCTCTGTTGACCACCTTCCATCCTTCCTTAGTCTAGGTTTGAGTGTGTGTGTGTGTGTGTGTGTAAATATGATCACAGTTCATCATATGGATGTCCAGGTCCTCCCAGGTGGGCCCCTAAGATGGGCACAGGGGTGTGTGGGAGGGAGATGGTAGAGGACCCAGTACTGGGTGGTCAGAACACACCATGGCAGTGCCAGGGAACCAAGAGTGCAAACACACATGGAAAGCAACTTTCCACTCCCTACTCCACCCTCATTGTTCCTTTTCTTGCCTCCTAATCTGATCTAGGTATTTATGGAGATGCTAAACAGATCACACCCTCTGAGGATGGAGCCTAGGAAGACCCCATGGTCCTGTTGATCTCGTTACTCTGTGTCTTGTCAGCAGATCTGCCGCCCTGCTGCTCATTCAGGCTTGGGGCTAATCACATTAATTGAAATATTAAACATTTACAGAAACGAATTATAATGAATTCCCCTTCCTCCTCCTCCCAGTCAGCAACTGGGGAGACAGCTGCAGGCAGCAAAATGCCTCCAGCCTTTCACTTAGTTTGTGGTCCCCAGATGGAAGGTTTCTATCTGAAAGGAGAGGCAGAGTTAAGGGGAGAAGAGGAGGGAGCTTGCTTCAGGGCATCCTTGCTGGGTGACTTTGGGCACATCTCTGCCCAGTGACATAACTCTGGGGGGTTAACCCTAGGACTCAGAGGCCCATTCTGGGAGGTTGCTCTCCAGGAGGAAATGAGGCTTCCAAACCTTACTTCTTCCAAGGTCCTTCCTCTTTCCACCATCCCCAAGCTCCCCCTCCTTCTTATTCTTCTGCACTCAGTGCTAAGCTGCCCTACATAAAAAGATTATTGACTTTATAAAGGAAGAGCTCGACTCCTGATTTTAGATTCTTAGAAAACGGATAATTGGGATATATTTCAAAGGGAAAAAGGTAGTGGTGGTATATGTGGGCAGAGTGGCTAGTCACCAGATACTTATTGGCCTCACCAAATGAAAGCCGAGTGAAGCCACGTGCTGCAGAAACCATGACACTGTACAAAGAATCTATTGTTTGATCTTCCTTCCCTAAAGTGGCTGCTGTCTCAGATGGAGAGGTAAGACAGTGAGGACTGAGGTGCTGTGAGAAAACAAAAGTAAGTAGAAGTAGCCTCTCTTATTTACACATAGTGGTACTTGGACCAAGGGAAGTGCTCAGTCAAGAAAGGCTTGATTGATTCTCAAAGTACAAGAAGACAACAGACTAGCAAAAGAAAGACATTACTTATTTTATACACAGGGTGGGAAGCTGGAGAAAGTTTTACATATTTACGTATGCGTGTGTGTGTGTGCACGTGTGTGTGTCCGTGTGCATGTGTAGATTTGTCAGTCCAGCCCAGCATTGTTTAATAGAAGGCAAGCCATATACATAACTTAAATTACTAGTAGCCACATTAAAAGAGCTAAAGAAACAAGTGAAATTACTTCTAATAATAGATTTTATTTAACTATAGATTCTCAATATTATTCAATGTTTATATGATATGTCCAAAATATTCATTCTGTCATCAGTATAAAGATACCTATTCATAAGATGCTTTGCTTTTTTTAAACTACATGCTCAAAATCCAATGTGTATTTTACACTTAATAACACATCTGACACTTCCAGCAACATCTGAGTGCTCAGTAGCCACAGGTGGCTCGCGCTGACCTTACTGGATAGTGCAGTTTAAGAGGTTCCCCCACTAGCTTCTGTGGGGTTGGAGGGGTGGGAAGAAACAGGTCTTGGCCAACAGGAACCGTCACCTCTGATTAACCTCTGCTCCTGCCTGAAAAAAATCACTGTGACAGATGGCAGCTTATCTACCTCTTTTCTAACCCTTTCTCCTAAAAACCAGACAAACAACCGCATTGATTACTAACCTGGATGAGATTCCTGGGAAGAGGCCTGTAGCTCACCACCTCATCTATCTTCCAGGGTTTGTTTGTTTGTTTGTTTCCTGGCCTAGGAACTGTCCACATTTTCACTTCTTCCCTTCACTCTTTGCTGAGAAGGATAGAGGTGGACCACTGAGAGACGCCCTCCAAAGCCAGGGTCGAAATGCTGGCCTAGTTTCTCCTTGGGCGGTTGTCCACAAATCTGAAAGACCAGCCTCCCTTCTGAGGTCTTTTCCCTGTCTCCCAGGAGACCTCTGCTGGGCATGATGTCTGGGGGTTAGAAACTCAGCACCGCGTGTATACACGAACAGGCTCCTGCCCTTTCCAGGCCTATTTGCAGCTCTCTGGCTTTGTGTTTCACTTTCCTTTCCTAATTAGATACTAAAAGAACACACCTTGAAGACCAACTGCCTTTCCCCTCCTCTGTTCACTTGGGAGTGGGAGAGATGATTTAGAATGTATGAGCAGCCACCTAATCTACACAAGAAAGTCCGTCCAAGAGGGGAAACCTCTGGCACGATATCCCCAGGTCCTTTCCGGTATCTTTAGTGTGAGAATGTCCCTTCCATCGCAGCACTCTGTTCACTCCATCCTATAGGATGCTTTCATGTTAAGTGTCTACAGGTCTGAAGGAGGGGTTTGGCTTTGGGGCCGGCTGAAAGGGAACAAGCTTGAATTCTCTCTACTACTAGGTTTCAACAGCTGCCAAAAAAGGGACAGGGTCAGGAACCAGATTCTGGGAGACTCTGCCTTAGGAATCCCTTTTTCAGTTTTGCTTCAGAGCCAATGAAAAAAAAATTATTTGAGGTTGGGTGGGGTCAAGAAGAAGAAGGGCTCGTTCCATATACAGAGAAGAGGGGCAATTAGCCCCCCAATCTGGGGAAGGAGATCCCTTGGAGACCCTCCCGAGTTTATTCCTCCGTTTCAGAGTGGCCCCCATATTCCTTCCCCCAGCCCCTCCCCGCGGGCTGGTGAGGGCCGGACTTGGGGGGGCGGGGCCTTTCCGCCCGCGTGGTCCGTCGCCTTGACGACCTGGGCAAGATGGCGACGCTACAGGGCGGGCTTCTGGGGCCGGACCCCGGGGCGCTAAGCCCCGCGCAACAGGAGCAGCTGCGCAACTTCAAGGTGGGTGCGCCCCGGACTCCCGCCTCCGTCGAAGTGCAGCTCCCCTAGAACAAGGGCTGCAGACCGGGAGGGGGTCAGGGAGGAGGGCGCGGGAGCCTGTTCTCAGATGAACTGGCAGAAGGCTGGGAGAGACCCCCGGCGGAACCCTGGGCTTCTGGGGCTCCGGACGGAGCCTGACCGGCGCCTGAAAGTGCAGGAAGAACGACCACAGAGGTCTGGCCAGTGAAATGGACCGAAATTACTGCCGGAGACAGTAACTTAGTACAGACAAGAACTTACGGACGGTGGAGACCCGACCTTAGCTATGACTTCCGAGTCTGACCGAGCTGGAGGTGTTGGTCTATAATAAAACAGGCGGCTTAAAATTTCAAACATCCCGGGAAAAGACCCAGTTCAGATGCACACCTAGTTTACCCAAGGCCCGGGACTTGAACCCTGAAATCTGTCTCCTCGTGGAGCGTGACCTTTTGCTCTCCTCCCCCTAGATTCAGACTCGGATTGCTAATGAAAAATACCTGAGGACCCACAAAGAAGTAGAGTTGCTCATAAGTGGTTTCTTCAGGTAGGTGGTTTTCCTACCAGCCTCGACAACTAGTGGGAAGTAGTACCAAATCTTGGTTGGGAGAGATGAGTGAGTGCTGCTTTAGGGTCAGGAAGGTAGGAAAAAAAAAAAGAATAATAAAATAATACATATACATACATATATGTTAAACTAAATAAATAAAAAAATATATAGTAGACAATATATTTTTTAAAGATTTTGTTTATTTATTTGACAGAGATCATAAGTTGGCAGAGAGGCAGGCAGAGAGAGAGGAGGAAGCAGGCTCCCTGCTGAGCAGAGAGCCGGATGAGATGCGGGGCTCCATTCCAGGACCCTGGGATCATGACCTGAGCGGAAGGCAGAGGGTTTAACCCACGGAGCCACCCAGGCGCCCCTGGTAGACAGTATTTTAAGATTGAGTTTTTTTCGGTGCGCCTGGAGCCCCGCATCAGGCTCTCTGCTCAGCAGGGAGCCTGCTTCCTCCTCTCTCTCTGCCTGCTTCTCTGTGATCTCCGTCTGTCAAATAAATAAATAAAATCTTAAAAAAAAAAAAAATTGAGTTTTTCTGAGATATGTGGCACCTGGTGTGTTTCTTAGTTACCTCTAGAGGTTTTCTTAAGTTATCTCTAAATTCTCAAAAATATTAATAGTCATTTTAACTGGAAGGATAAATATATATCTTCTGACACTTGGAAGAGGTAATTTGGCATTGAGAAACTCAGCAGGCAGGCACTGGGTGTAGAACACTATTTCTCCATCAGAGTAGCTTAACAAGATCACTAGAACTTAAAAAAACATTCAGATGTCTGGCCCTTTTCTCCCTGAGAGCCTTGTTGTGGAAAGACCAGTGGTTGGAAGCTATTCCCCTGTACGTCTTGGGGAAGAGACTATTTCCCACCATATCCTGGAGCATGTTTTTCTTTCCCCAACATTGCCCTTCAGCATGGCATTTGTTTGGGTGAAAATTCTCCTAATGGGATGAAGGGCAAAGAACTGTCAAAAAAAAAAAAAAAAAGTCTTGGCACAACAACAGAGGAAAACAATAGAGCTGTCTCAAATACTATTTGGCTACAGACAAATAGGCAAGGTTTAAATAATAATAATGGCTTCCATTTCCAGGCACTGTGTTGGTTTCCTACGTTAGCCTTTATCACACTGAATTGGAATCTCATTGTCTGTCTTCTGTTTCTGTCCCTGGACCAAAACCCCAAGTTGGGGCAGCCATGTTTGCATCTCCCGTACCTGCACACTGGATGCCATCTTGGTACTTGTGCTGACCCTCCCAGCAACTGCAAAACATAGGTTATCATCACTTCCATTCTGCAGCTGGAGAGGTGAAGTACCTTCCCCAAGATGTGGAACCAGGATCCAAACCGCTGTGTTGGGTTGAAAGCTCACAGGAGCTGGGGAGCCAGAGGCGCGGCTCTTCTTTGTCTTCTTAAAAGTCAACCTGGAGCGGTGTCCTTTTTTTCCCAGGCTCTTTCGTCTTTCTTGAATCTCACTGTTCTTCATATCCTAATCATTTCTCCAGTGGCAGCAGAGTCTCACAGACCAGATAGGGGATGGAGAAAGGGAAAAGAGAAACTTCTCTGTGAAGCTTGGTTTTATTTGACCCAGGGGTAAGACTTAAGGCAAAAGATAGTTAGGGGTCTTTAGTCAGTGTCAGTCATGGGAATCAGGCCATCATTTTCTGCACTTTTTCTTCTAAAGGGAAATGAAGGTTGGTCTCATTCCTATCTTGGGGACCTTACAGTCCCAAGTTAGGAATGATTCCAGCAGGGAGGTTGGAGATACAGATGTTAAAAGCCTGAATTAAATCACCATTTGCGTTGTTAACAAACACAAGGAATGGGTGGTGGTGGTGGGAGATGGTGATGAATGAAGAGGGTGATGTTTTTAGTTATAAGTCAGGGATGGGCCAGCTTCTTCGTCCAGGAAGTTTCCAGGAGGAACTGGGTGTCTGTGCCTGGCTCGTGCCAGAACAGCCCCTTCCCTTCCTCACCATCCCCACCTCCCGAACTGGGTAGGCCACCTGGCTCTTCCCTTTGCTGTCCCTGAAGCTCCCTACAGGAAATGCTCCTGGCTCCTTTTAGGCCTTTCTCTTTCTGAGATGGAGGTGGGAGGGAGAGAAGAAGTGTTTTAAAGTTTGGGGGTTTGCTTTTGTTGTTTGTGGTCTTATTATTACTGCCTTTGGAAGATACTGGGATGAACCAAAATCAGCCCCTCATCTGGATACTTCAGATGGTCTTCCCCTTGAGAAAAGAGGAAGGGAGAAAAGGGAACAGAATCCTGGGCGGCGTATCTGTCCTCCCGTCTTCTGCAGGTCTCTGCTCTAGACTCACTCCAACCCACGAGAAGCTCCAAAGTGTTTTTGTTGGGAAGCAAGCTCCCCACTTGGGTTTTCCAGATCATGATGACTTATGGTGATGCAGTCACCGCTATCCAGGGCGTACTTGTACATACAGTGTATGGAACTCTTAAGACCTTGAATTTTGGACCTGAAGAACAGACAGAAGAGGGATCTAACTTATTTTAGGCACCCAGAGATCTAGGATTTTAGGCTGGAGAGAGGATTGCAAAGTGTGAAACTGTAGAAAAGCTTTATTAGATATTTTTGTAAGTAGCCAGGCAGATGAATCTACCCCAGATTTAACACTGGTTATGTCATTCCTTGGCTGGAAAAATCTGCAGTGGCTCCACAACATTGCCCCCTACCCCCAACTTTTTTTTTTTAACATTCCATTGAAGTATAACGAAAAGTGGCATATCCTAAACTGGGTGAACTTTCACAGGATGAGAATACACATGGTAGTGGGATCCAGACCAAGAAATAGAACCTGACTAGCATCTCAGACCTGCTGAGACCCTTCCAAGCACTTCCCCCAAAAAGGTAGCCAGTATTCTGACTTCTTTTTATTTATTTATTTTTTATTTATTTGACACAGAGAGAGAGAGATCACAAGTAGGCAGAGAGGCAGGCAGAGAGAGAGAGAGAGGCAGACTCCCTGCTGAGCAGAGAGCAGAGATGCGGGGCTCCATCCTAGGACCCTGAGATCATGACTTGAGCCAAAGGCAGAGGCTCAACCCACTGAGCCACCCAGGCACCCCAGTATCTTGACTTCTCGTAGCACAGATTTGTTGTGCCTTTTTGCACTTTATGTAAGTGGAATTCTACAGTATGTACTCAGTTGTCTGACTTGTGTGTTGCTCAACTGTGTCTCATAGCTCCCCCATTCTCACTGCTGCGTATGTCCTGCTGTGTGACTAGTCTGAGCTGTACGCACCCATTCCCCTTGTCTTTTTTTTTTAATATTTTATTTATTTTATAAGTAGAGAGACAGGCAGAGAGAGAGAGAGAGAGAGGAGGAAGCAGGCTCCCTGCTGAGCAGAGAGCCGATGCGGGACTCGATCCCAGGACCTTGAGATCATGACCTGAGCCGAAGGCAGAGGCTTTAACCCACTGAGCCACCCAGGTGCACCCCCCTTGTCTTTTCAACTGAGTATAACTGTCTCCCCCTGGCCTTCCAGGCTCTCCATAATAGGGCCCCTTTGTTCCCAACTACTCTGTGCCTGCCCGCCGTCCCCACCAGATGGAACCTCTGATCATTCCACTGACCTCCCCACTGACGCCGTGGGGGGGCACTGACACTTCAGGATCCTGGAGATACAAAGGTGGGGACTTCTGTTCCTACTCTTTTTTTTTCTTTAAAGATTTTATTTATTTGACAGAGAGAAATAGCCAGAGATGGAACACAAGCAAGGGGAGTGGAAGAGGGAGAAGCAAGCTTCCTGCCAAGCAGGGAGCCCAGTACGGGGCTCGATCCCGGGACCCGGGGATCATGACCTGAGCCAAAGGCAGACACATAACGATTGAGCCACCCAGGTGCCCCTCCAGTTCCTGCTCTTGAGGAGTTCACCATCTAGAGGATATGGACTCTTTCCTTTCATTTCTGGGACTTTACTCTTGTTGCTTCTCTGGGTCTGGGATGCCCTTGTCCTGTCATCTGAAATCCTGAGTGCACCACAAGGGGTGCCAGGTGCTCTGTGAAGCTTCCTGGGGCCCTTTTCTCTGTAACCTTACTCGCTGTCCACAGCACACTATTAACACCCTCTTACAGCCCTTCCTGCAGGGTGCTTGGCCTTTCGGACATTTGGGAACTTACCCATTCTCTTTTTTTTTTTTTTAATTTTTATTTTTTTTAAATTTATTTGACAGGGAGAGAGATACCACAAGTAGGCAGAGAGGCAGGCAGAGAGAGAGGGGGGAAGCAGGTTCCCCGCTGAGCAGAGAGCCCGATGCGGGGCTCGATCCCAGGACCCTGAGATCACGACCTGAGCCGAAGGCAGAGGCTTTAACCCACTGAGCCACCCAGGTGCCCCTTACCCATTCTCTTTTACTTGACTCATTTCTTTGAGATGGTGCTGTATTTTCTCTTTTTTAAAAAAAGCAATCCCTCATATCTAGTATAGTTACTTACACAAAATTTGTGCTCAATAATTATCAGATGGAATTCAAGGAGAAGGGAAGCCAAGTCCTTACAGCTTGGGAAGCAGGGGCTTTGTGGGCAGGTGAGGTCTTCTGGGGGCAGGGTGGCCATGGCCAGGAGGATGTGTTGTAGAGAGCACTGGCCTTGGAACCACCAGACCTGAGCTCTCTGTCCTTTGTTTCTTCTCTTTGTGAACTTGGGCAAATGATTAACCCTTTGAAAGATTGATTTCTTCATATGTAAAATGCGGCATGGCTATTGCTGTTTTGCAGGGCTGTTGTAGTGTGAGATAAGATTTGTGAACATTCTTTATGAACCATAAAGCTCTATGTGAGATAAGGCATGTTCCCGCCCAGCGGCCCCAGTGCTGAGGCCTTGTTAGTGTTGCTTGGAGACCTGCCGTCCATCCTCTCCACTTTGATTGCATCGCTGCCCGCCCCATAACTCCTGTGGTTACTCACTGTTAAACGTAGTCCCCAGGCTGTGGGGTTGCATATATGCCCCACCACACACAAGCCCCTCAAGGACTAGGCAGCATGTCCTTCATCTCCACCACCTGTGCCTGGCTTGGGATCCAGTTCTGTGAAAATGTTTGATGAATGAATGACAGGCTTCACCTGGCTGGGGCACAGCTGTTTTATGAGCTGAGCTTAGTGCCATTTAGAATTTCTGCTCCTTGCCTCAGAACTTGATCGGAAGGAAAATCACAAATGGAAGGGTCTTTGTCAGGAGTCCTCTGGCTTGTTGATTCCCAGACGGGTGTGTCACGGGTCACTCTGCTCCCTGAAAGGTGGGACCTGCTGCCGAGGCTGAGCGCAGTCTGCCTTCAAGCCTGCTTTATTCCTACCCTTATCTCTTCATGTCTTCCAGAGAAATATTTTTGAAAAGACCAGACAACATCCAGGAATTTTCTGCAGGTGAGTAAGGCAATGTCTGTTTTGGGTGTTTGAGAAACCAGCCCAAGGAGTATTATTGCAAATTTAGACTTGGACAAGCCCACAATTCTCCCTACAGAGTTTGGGGGTACTTCTTCACTTGATGTGGCCCTGGGGAGCTCTTTTCAGAAGGCTCTTTCCACCATTGTCATTTCCTCCAAATGAGGACAGATAAGAAATGAGGCAGAGCTTCCTTATGGTGAGGATTAAGGATTTTGAGATTCCCAAAGGAGCAGAGGGGCAGCTCTTCTCCCTGAGACTCCTGAAGTGAGGTTCCCCACCCTGGCTGCACATTAGAATCACCTGGGGAGCTTTTAAGAAATGCTGAAGCCCGGGCCCACCCCCAGAGGTTGGTATTTAATTAGCCCAGGGTGAGGGGGCAGCCCCATGGTTGTAAAGGTCCCCAGGTGATCTTAATGGGTTCCACTGCCCCAACTGGCTTAAGGTCACCGGTATTTAGAGGGAAGGGCCAGGTGGGAGGCTTTCTTGGGGCCTGTTAGCCCAGGGAGCTGGTGACGGACGCACACCGTTTCTAACTGAATCTGGTGCGTCTTTGCAGCTCCAGCAGATGCTGCCTCTGATTCACATTATGCCGGGTGTATAAAAACCATCCTCTGTCGTCATCGTGTGAGAGCCTGGCTCTCCTCTGAGAGGATATTCTCAGAGAGGAGAGGGCGTGAGAGCTCAGAGACAAGCTGGCAAGCTGAGCTGAGACGAGAATAACACTTGGCATTTATTTGGGCCCCAGGATGGGCCGGGAGCAGCAAACCCAGAGATCCCTCAGCCCTCTGATGGCTCCCCGTGCGTCAGCAAGCTGATGAACTGCCGGCTGGTGTGGCGGGGCCCGGAGCCATCCTGTGTCAGCCCCTCCCGGGAAGGCGGGAGCTGGCAGGCTCAGCACTACTCCGGGCGGAGATGGCGACCACGGGATCTGCTGTGACTTCTGTTACTTGTTGGAAAGCAGGGCCCCCAGGAACAGGCCTGCTGAGGCTGAGCCAGCCTCGCTTTTGAGCCGAGTGAGTGGTCTCCCTCCCCGCCTTCTCCCCTTGGGTTTAGATAATTTCTTCTTTTCGATTCTCATCCCAGACTATTTCACGGATCCAAGACTTCCCAACAAGATTCACATGCAGCTAATTAAGGAGAAGAAAGCGGCTTAATTAGCAGAATCAGGATGCTCAGCTGTTGAGAGAGACCAGGAAGAATCCAGCCTCAGGGTGGGTGTTAACCTCGCTTACAGACAGAGGCTGCTTTGCTCTTGTCAAAATAAAGTCTGGGCTTCTCGGCCCTGGGTGTGAAGGAAACCAGAGGGAGAAGCGGCAGAGAAGTTTCATGCAAAAGTGTTTCGTTTTCTTGACACTATTTTGGGGAATTAGGGGCTGTGAAGAGTGGCCCGGGGTTTGTCTGGCATGTCCATGGCAGGAAGAGACATCTGTCTTCTGAGCCTGGTGGAATGGAGTCGGAGAGTGGAAGCGGAACCGTGTGGGAGTGAGGAGTGAGGAGTGGCAGGGAGACGGGGGTGGGACCCACTGGGATCCAGACCCCACTGTCAGACTGTGGAATACTGGAATAGCGAGCACTCTCGCAGATGGCCTTTTCCTTCTGTCGCTGGTGCGGGGAGCAGAGGGGGTTCCCGTTGCTTCTGGAAGGGGCGGGAACAGTTTCCCTCGTAGCACCCTGGACGAGGGACTTTCCTGTTACCCGTCCTTTTCAAACCAGGCTCTGCCCAGGAGGGTCGTCTCCCATTTTTTAGGCAGGATGATTTCTGAAAGAATTTTGCAGGTTGGGATTTTTTCTTACAAGGTGGGAAGAAGCCACGTTCCTGGTGTCACCACACCGTTTGTATTTTGCAGGGTCACCCAGAAGCAAGGGAGCTGTGTTGCCATCAGATTGGGGTCCTAAGCTGCCTTGGGCCATATCTGCTGTTGCAAAGGCTTTTAAAGATATTCATTAAAAACAGACCTTTCTAGTCTCTCTGCTGTGTTTCACTCAGAGGAGGAAGCCATCCAGTAGGGAGGGCTGCTGCGCCCCTCCTTGGACCTGCTGGGCAGCAGGGCCGTCTCTCCATCTGCCGCAGCCTGTGGGCCTCCACTAGGGCAGCAGGCTGCTCCCACATGTGCCTCACACTGTGTCCTCCCTGCCCCTCCAGGCCACTTGCTCCCAGAGCTGAGGCTGGAGGAGAGAACAGGGGTGGGGACTCTGTGAGGCCCACAGCTGATTGGGGCAGCCCTGAAGCCGAGTCCACGTTTTAGCACGGTGTCCCCCGCACCCCCATCTTCCCTCCCATTTACCATATGGCGTATACAAGCAGTGGTTTAACTTTTCTTTCAGCGATAATAGCAATGGGGCTGGAGGGACCGCGAGAAAATGAGACTGGACAAAGAAAACCCATTTGGGGTCCTGCATTTTGTGAATTATAATCTAACGGGTGACTCAGAGGTGGTGGACTTTGTTCTTGAGGGTTTTTACCAACAAGCTGCCCATCTGTTGTTTGCAGCTAACAGGCAGGGGAGGGGGCCAGTTGGCCTTTGACATCCTTTCCAGGCCTGGAAGGCATGAATGTCTTCTGTACTTGTGCCCTACCTCTCTGGTCTCCACAACCCGCTGTGTGAAGGACCTCTCACACCTCTCCGGTCCACATCACCAAGGCAATGGAGGCACAGCCCAAAGCAGGGGCTGTGCTTTCTCTCTCTGTCCCTTGTCTCTGTCCATCTCGTCCCCAGCTGCCAGCCCCTCCATGGTGGAAGGGCCACAGAACCGGGAATGGAGAGGACTAGTAAAGCGATGCCTAATAAGCTATGCAGCAGGAAACTGAAGAGTTATTTCAAGTGCTTTCAGAGTCACACTTCAGCAGCTATGGCTCTGGCAGTGAGCTACCCCTGCTTAGAAAATCAAGATGAAGCCGTCAGCGGAAAACCCATGTGTAGTAAGGACCTCTGATGTGAAGTGTTAAATTAGACTCTCTTGAAAGCTTTCCCGGGAAGGGAGGCCTGCGTCAAGGTGGGGAGAGGGCAGTGTTTTCCAGATGCTCGTGTGCATGATGTGATACCACAGGAGGACAGTGGTTCATTCTTGGAAGGTTTCCTGGCAGAAATAAGAAATGCATTTCGATTAGAATATATTTCAAAGCCAAGGAAAGTTTGCATTTAGCACGTGGTCCTAGAGCATCTGTTCTGTTTGACATTGCACACTGGGGCCAGAGGGTCAGGTGTGGAGGTCATCCTGCCACGAGCTGCTTGATGGTCTGGGAGGAGATGTGCACCTTTCTCCCCAAGCGTGAACTGTCCTGATAGCTCACCTTGTAGATGGAAAGCACCATCAGAGCAGGGACCAAATCTAAAAACCGGGCTTATGTCTGGCATGTAGTAAGTGCTCAGTAAGCATCTGTGGAGGGAATGAATGCTTATGTAATGGAGCGAGCGATCATGTTGCATCAGCCGCTACAAAGACTTATAAAATCACAGAGCTGTGATGAGAGTAGGTACATCTAGAGGAGGAGGAAGAAAGGATACGGGCTCTACTTGCAGGAGTGAGGGCGGCCCCAGAGAAACTGGCATGGGATGGATGGGAAAGGGTTTGCCAGATGGATGTGGAGGGTGGCATGGGGGGCCAGGGTACTGCAGGTTCTCCACTTTGCTGAGCAGGGGGGTGGTAGCAGACCCTGCATGTCACCGGCTCATCCTTCTTACCCCTTTCTTCCCTGCTGACCATACACCAGCTTTGTTGAGGGCAGCACTGGGCTCAGCCCCAAGTGGTAGATGGTATTTATCCTAAGCCAAGCATGGCAACCACATTCCCTGGTTTCCCAGCCTGCCTTGCAGCAAGGGGCAACACGGGTCAAGGTGCACTGTGGGTTTCTAGGAAAGCTTGGAACCTTCGGTGGAACCTTCCCTTTTCCCACCTTTCTTCCTGTTTTGAGCCTGAAAGTGAGGTCTAGAGCCGAGTGGCCGTAGTAAGGCCATGAAGGGACAAGTAGGGTGGCTGAGCCAGTCCTCCAGAGTGGCAGGGAGCAAAGATCAAAAGACTGAGGGCCTGGTGGCATCTTTGAGCACTTGAACAACCAAGCAAACGCCTGCCTTCAGACTTCCTGACAAGTGAGAAAAATACATCTCTCGTTTGTTTTGAAAGCACACTAAGAGTTTAATCCTGACCCACCACTTACCAGTTGTGCGGCCTTGGCAAAGCTGCTTAACTTTTTTGAGGTCAGGTTTCTCAGTCTAGAAACTGAGACATGTAATTAGCAGCTCCTGGGGCTGCTGGGTTAGGAATAAAGAAGGGACAGTGCCAGGCACGTGGGCAGTGTTCATAGGAGGGTCTGACTGGAGGTGAGAACAACGCAGGGATGAGAGACCCGACAGGAGGAAGATGGACCCGCCACAAGGAGCATCACACATGAGACCCAAGAGGCTGATCTTTACCATCTGGGCAACAGAGAGCCAGCAAAAACTTTTAAGCCAAGAAGAGTTTATGAAGAGATTTAGAAAGTGCCAGAGTGTGGAAGACAAACTAGAGGAAGCTCTGACTAGATGTGGAAAGACCTGTGGCCCCAGCCCGCACCGTCTCTCCCGGCCCCTCTGCAAGGCCCCTCCGCACTCCCATCTTAGCAGGCCTGTGCCCAGGCCTGCCCGCTGTCAGCGGAGAGCCCACTGCACCTGGGAACAGAAAACCCAGTTTATGGCAGCTGACGCAAATAGAGGGTGTTTTTCTCACCCGATAGAGTGTCTGGCTATAGGCAAGCTTCAGAGGTTCAGTGGTGAACACAAGGACCCAGACCAGGCTTCCATCCCTTCCACTCAGCCGGCTGTAGCCTGTGGCCCCACTATTGCGAGGGGCTGCTTCTGTTCTCCAGTGGGGAGAAGGTGGCAGAGCTGCACCAGCCAAGTCTGTCCCTTTTTGTCAGGAAAGCCAAGTTTCCCCAAATGTTCTCTCCACCTGCATCTCACAGGACAGACTTGGGGTCCACCTAAGTGCTCCAGGGGTGGGGAAAAGGAACATTTAACTCTAGCTTCTAGAGAAGGCGGTGTCGGAGAAGAGTGGGAATTGCTGTTGGGTTAGCCCCAAAGCAGTGTCCGTGCTCACCAGTTCCTTCTACCTGCCCCTGCCTGTCCCTGCCATTCCCCCAAAAGAATGACCTTTTAAGAAACCTAAACCAGAGGGGTGCCTGGGTGGCTTGGTCGGTTGTGTCCAACTCTGGGTTTCGGCTCAGTTTGTGATCTTACGGGTCCTGGGATGGGCTGTCTGTGTCGGGCTCCACTCTTGGCCGGGAGTCTGCTAGAAGATTCTCTCCTTCCCCTCCCCCAATTGGTGTGCCCCCTTTTGCTCTCTCCAGTAAATAAATCTTTAAAAAAAAGAAAGAAAAAGAGAAAGAAACGAAGGAAGGAAACTAAATCAGAGTATGTCACTCTCCTGCCAAAAACCGTTCCATGGTCTTCCAGGCACTTAAATCCAGATGGCTTTCTAGGGGCCTCAGAGCTTTGCAAGACCCCCTCCATCTCTCAGACGTTTTCTGCCCCCTGCCTCCCACCTGCCTGCGTTCCAGACACACAGGTCTTTTCTCCCTTCCTCAGACATGCCAGCGGAGTTCGGAGTTCCAGAGTTAGGGTCTTTGAATCTGCCTGCATTGTTCTTTCCCAGGTCTTCACAGGGCTAGGGGGCCCAGCTGGGATGCTCTGGTCTGAAAGGAAGCCTCTTGCTAAGGGAGCAGGACTTACTTTTCTCAAATGGCAAGTCTGTAGTGTCAGTTTAGGGCCTGCCTCTGCGGTTTCTTCCTTTTCCCTTGTGGTCGAAGGCTGAGCAGGAAGGGACTGTACCAGCGATACTTGTCTTTCTTTTCTGGAAAGCAGGTCTTCCCCCAGTAAACCCCTCTACCTCTGCCAACTCCCACTAACACCTCTTTGGCCAGACCTGTGTGCATGGCCGCCTTTAAGGGAGGCTGGGAAGATGAGTATTTAGCCAGCCAACAGTGCCATAGAGAGCTTCTTGTCACTTCCTCGGAGTCCTTTCCTAGAGTTCCAGACATTTTTAATATTTAAACATCCACGCCCTGCCTCTGCCATCTTCTCTTATATCATTCTGTCTTTTTCACAATACCTGTCGCTGTCTAATGTGATCTTGTTTGCTTGTTTTTCTGTGACTGTCTGTATCTGGACTTGAGCTGTGGTGAGAGCTGGCCTGGCCAGCCGTGTTGGTCACTGGTGGCCCAGCACCTACAGCTGCTCAGAGTGCCCTTGCTGAGTGAAGGCTGAGCCATGCGCCTGGGCCCAGTCTGTGAAGGGGCATGGGGACAGGAGATGGAGTCTCATATTTGGGAGGAGAGCAGGCAGGATTGTGGTTTGAATGGGGGAGAGATATAATGACTTTGAGGTTTCTTGCAGGGACAAAGGGAGACATACATGATGGGATCATTCACTAACACAGAAGTGATAGATTTAGACCCAAAGGTGTCTGCTGGCTTTGTAAGTGGGGTGTGGGTGAAATTAGCGTGAATCACTGCAGTGGGGTCAATGGGAGTTGGACTGAGTGGACTTCTTAGTCGTCGTGAGATGAGGATGTAGTGTGGATACACATGTCTTTCTAGGAGCATGGTCGTGTAAGGAGATGGAGGAAGGGCAGTAGTTAGAAGGGGGAGTTGGGTCACTCATGGGCTTTTGGAAGGGGAGCTGCTTGAGCAGTCAGGGATCTGGCATTTTTCATCTCTTGAGATCTGTTTTACTTTCAGGCTAAAAATGTTAGAAGCTTCTTAAAAATGTTGCACAGATAGGACCTGATATTGGAGGTAATGGGGACTAACAGGTGGCCTAACTGTGACTCCGTGTGACCTAGAGTGACCTGTGTCAGCTGCTCCTCCTCCTCACAGTTGGGGCAGTGGCTCTTCGGGGCGCAGTAAGGATCTCCCCAGTCTTGTAGCACAGGATGGCGAGGAGGAAGGACAGCATTTAGAAAGTGAGGTGCTCTTCTAGCCAGACAGGCCTCTACTGCCCTCTCCTGGGCA